TATATTAATTACATTTTTAATTTATATTGAAATACAAGTTTAAAAAATTTATTTATAAAAGTGAAGTACAATTCACATTACACATTTTATTAATTATTAATAGAAAAGCAAGTTCCTTAATATTAACTCACATCTTTATTAATAATTAAAAGAGTTATAGTACGAGCACAAAGCAAATTGTAAAACAACATTTTCATATTATTTAAAAAATTAAATGAAAATTTTGTAAATTTTAAAAATAATTAAAAAAAATGTGAGTTTTTTGATATTTGAAACCCATATCTTTATTAATTTTTATTAATTAATAGTTAAAAGAGTTACAGTACACATATTGCAAAACGGCATTTTCATATTCTTTAAGTAATTAAGTGAGAATTTTGTAAAAATACTATTATTTCCATAATTTTGAAATTTTATATTTTGGTATTGTAAAAATGAACGGGTTGTGCAGTCCAACGAATATTAGATTGGGCCAAATTGTGTGGCACCGAACCATGGCTGGAAGAACACCCCTAAATGTTAAAGAGTCCCTCTTTTCTCAAATCCAACACATGTTGTGTACTTGTACAGCAAAAAAAGGACTATAATAAAGCATATAAAAATAATATAATTATAATATTACACATTATTGTAATTATAATTAGAATATATTTATAAAAGATAATTATAAATAATTTTAAAAATATTAAATTTGAAAAAGATTCCAACCATGAGATCTTACTTAAAATTTCCTCTATCCAGGGAGGAAGGATCAAGTGCCTGGCGAAACTTTTTCTTTTTTTTTTTAAGTTAAAATTTTTGAATTTAAATTTTATTTGAGCGGTCAATAATTTAAATAATTCAGTAATCATATCTTTTTGTTGGAAGTAAGAGATTTTGAGTAGTTTGAGTAATATGACATGCGGTAGGATAAGATAAAAGATGTGAGATAATTGTTTCTCATTCTATAATCAAGATAAAAAAAAAAATTTCGTATAGGTGAAATAAAAAAAATTAAAATTTGAAAATGCTTGCAAAAAAAAAAAAAGAGGGAAAATCTTTTATTTACAGGATATTCTCATTTTTACAGCTCAAAAAAAAAAAAAAAATCTTCCCTTGTACGTCTGCCGAAGTGTACAAACCAGAGATTTGATATCCCCTTTGCCCCAGGGCAGTAACAGTGCTAACTCAAACTCTTGTTCTATGCGAGAAAATTCAATAATTTCGTCCTTTGATCTCTTTAAGAATATGTCGAGTGCTTGTTTTCATTTACAATTTCTGTGAGAAAAAAAAAAAAAAAATTCATCCGGGCCTAGTGCTCTATTTTCCCCAGGATGTGGGTAAGTTTTGCATTCATTGCTTGGGACAAAAATATTTGTCTTCAAGAGGAGCACAGATAAGGTTGAAGCACCGGATGTATCCTCTGTTTTTATCTTTTTAACCCTGTTGAAACTTTAAATTGGGTCATATGCCCTTTGTCACTCCCATTGAAGGACATTCTGCCCTCATCAACCACACACTCATCTCTTCCAGTCCCAGAGGATCAAGGTACAAGCATGGAGTGATTCTGAAGCCTAACAAAGGCAGAAATGTTAACAATTCAATTCCAGAAATTTGTTGTATAAACATAAATTGTGTCGTATAAGTGGGGTTCTATTACTATAACCAGGAGCAGGAGGTGTGATTGAACAGGTGGCCATGGAGCTTATCTCTCCATAGTTGACCGAAGGAAGACAGAGACAAGAGAATGCACAACTTAAAAGACAGGACAAGGTAGATCAGATGAAATATGTGCTTGAGAACACCCATCCTGGACGCCTATAGGTTCTGAGCCTTATCTGCTTTGATGTGGTCTCCATTTTCCACCAATAAAAAATGTTCCCTACACCTTCAGCCACATAACCAGAAGGACTGCAGAATATGGTGTTGTCTTTTAGTTAAGAGATTTAAAAACTCATTCCTGAAGGTGTTTTGGAAAATAAGTGCAAGGGGCGAAATTTTCTCTAGCAATCTTGTAGTATTAACCAATCAAAAAGTGAAATAAGGAATCTCTACATAATTAAACCAAAGCCTTAGGAACCTTATCCGGTTCTTTGAGGGTGAAATTCCTCGCCCTTTGTTTTCTATCTAGTTTCTTTGGCTTACCAATCAAAACAGTTTGTAGATGTACCGAGGATGTTACTGGCATTTTGTAGAAAAAATGGAATGGTAGTAGGGAAACTTACAAGTTATGCTCACTCAATTGTGTCCCCACCTCCCAACATTCACATGGGTACACCAGAATTTTTTAAGTGGAAAAAGGGCTCAGCTCCTGAGTTTCATATGATACTTGTGACATGCAAAGTCTCATTGCTGGTACATAGACCACAATTATTAGAGACAGTTGATACATACCTCTGCTGGCAAAGATTTGATCTTCGCTTTGTACTAGGAGAAGAGTAATGCAAAGTATCCATCGGTCAAAATGGAAAGTTGCATGCAATGATGCAAGAGAGAGTATTCAAGGAATTCCAAAATAAGTTTAAGTGATATGGTTTTATTACAGAAATCATATGCAGATAAAAACAATTACTAGATACACATACCAATCTAATTAATGCTCAGAATCAGAAAAGTATTCACAGAGAGTATAACAAGACCCCATACAAATTTAACGCTCTATATGTATGTCTGCATTAGTGCATTTGCCTGATTTTGACATGGCAGTCAACAGGACCTTCCCCACAGTGTTGGACCATTTATTCAGTTCGTGAAGAATGGGTAAGACTTCTGCCATCTCCAACAGGCCCCTCTCCAGCTGTTTTGAATCAATCTTCTCTTGGTGTGCTCTCCATCAGGACTTCAACTATGTTCCACACTGGTTCAACTGTAAAAAGGACAGACAAAGAACCCTAATTTAACTAAAAGCTTCAACTGACAGGACCAAGAATAAAGTGTGCTTGTAGGAAAGGCTACATATCAGAAGATGACTTAACAAATAGGAGAATTAATGATTCCTGTACCATATAAAACACATCAAAGCATATAGCTCTAGCTTCACAGCTTTAAATTCTTACAGTGGATGAACCGGAACAACTGCCAATCTAATTCAGCCAAAATTGCATGCTAACATGGAGCTTGTTGACAAGAATGTTGCCACTGACAAAGTGTGACAGCACGAGAACGGGTATAGCTACATTATTACTTACATTATTTCTTGAAGAAACAAACAAATCATGAAGAAAGCAAAATAATTATTCTGGAAGGAACTAAGTTTTTGGCAGTCACGTGTTACAAATTAGTTAGAATAGAAGATTCTATGACATGTATGATGAAAAAGAAGGAAAGGTGACAAACCAACCACTGGAATACCCAGGAGCCTCGACGAGTGCAAGGAGATGACATAGGAAGATTGAAGAACAATTGTAATCACCCTCAAGCACCATATTTAAACTTGCATTGATACAGTTATTCTTGATCCGGTAGCATTTTATTGATTAATTAGGTGAATGAGGTGGGGTGGACTGATTGTTACACACTTACAAGGCTGATTTCTATTTGTTGCCTCGTAAATTTTGCAACTGCGGTTGCTTTCGATTGCATTGATTACACTCCCTTTGACGTTGTTGTCGAGATTTTTTTTGGCATTAAGAAAGTCTAACTAAATTGTAGTCATTAAGTAACAACATTTCGATCAAAACTATCATGTACACAGAAATTTTTAAGAAAGTCTTTTTAAGTAGTTAAGGATTTGAAATTTTAAGTTGAAAATCTTAAATTTAAATTTTGAGGTAAGTTGAGAACGAGAAAGTTATTTAATAGTTATCTTTTAATATATAATTTATCATATGATATACTAAAAACAAAAAGACTATATATCCTGTACATAAGGATGTCA